GGCCCCAACAGCATAATGGCTCTCGCAAGCGCTGGACTACTCTGAAAGCACAGGGACATCCTATTCAGACGACATGGCAGCTCGCAGTGGCACGGGATCGTGAACTTGGATTGGCATCTTCATGAGCTCCTCGTCCAGCTGGCGATAGCACCCCCACGCTTTTTCTTGATCCTTGATCCGATCGCGGCACGCCCCTCCTGGGAGGCTAGAACGCTTGGGGCCCTTCCAAACCGCCAACCACGGGTCTCGCTGATGGTGAAATCGCCATTGCGTAAGCTGAATCACTCTTTTCCCTCTTTCACTGCTTTTTGGCTTTGGCTAGGGACCCGGGTCTTTGTTTGGTGGCCTGGGCCTTTTGATAGATGACTCTGCCGACTTCCGGCCTGGGCAAAAGAAGCTGAAGACGTTTTCAAGGGCATCGTGATATCTCTCCAACGTGCGGCCTTTCCCTACTCTTCATCCTTCTTTCCTCCTTCCTCTCGCCTCCACGATTCAATTCCGCGAGTCCACCCCACGAGGGCCTCACCAGCGCTACTCCCCTAGTCCCTCGAGAACACGACTACGATAACGATACTACGTACGTTCAATCATGAGCCTCGAGAACGGCCTTCAAGTGGCCCCCAATCACGGTGCTGGCGCTGCAGAGGATAGCGACGCGACGACGCAGGAGCTCCCTCATCACGTAGCTCAGCAGCAGCCGCCGCGCAAGACCTGGCTCGAATGGCTTCGCGATGACGTCCACGTCAACCACACAGATCTCCCCCTCTTCGCCTGCTGCTTCATCTCGGGCCTCTGCGACAGCGTCACCGTCAACGCCTCGAACGTCTTCGTGAGCATGCAGACGGGCAACACCATCTTCCTGGCCCTCGGTGCCGCCAGTCTCCCTTACGGCGACCCTTATCGCTGGCTGCGCTCTCTCGTCTCCATCGGCTCATTCGCCCTGGGCTGCTTCACCTTTGCTCACACCCGTCATTTCCAGCCCAAGCGCAAGGCCACTCTTGCCCTGTCCTTCCTCGTACAGGCCGCTGCCATTTGGATCGCTGCCATCTTGGCCCAGACGGGCGTCGTCGCCGACTACAATCGCCGCAACGTCCCCAGCTTCAACGACGACCTCGGCGCCGCCACGCAGTCTCACCACAGCCACATTGTACTTCTACCCGTCGCCCTGATCGCGTGGCAGTTTGGCGGTCAAATCGTCTCGAGCCGTGTCCTCGGCTACAACGAGGTGCCCACCTGTGTCTTGACGAGCGTCTACTGTGACCTGCTGTCCGACCCCAAGATCCTGGCCCCCCTCAAGGAGAACCCCAAACGTAACCGCCGTTTCCTCGCCATCCTTCTGCTTCTCCTTGGCGGCATCGTGAGCGGCTGGATTCAGAGGAGCGCCGCCGGCACGACCACTGTCCTGTGGATTGCTGGCTTCATCAAGGTCGTCATTGCCGCGTGCTGGCTGGCCTGGCCCAGCAAGACTCTTGAACCCAAGAGCGAGAAATGAGTGGCCCAGAGCGCACACAGAACGGAAACGAACATACACACGCGCGCGCATACACACACAGCGGAAAGCTTGAGAGTTCAATGAGATACCCAGCAGGAACACTGCTGACGATAGACGGAGCAGTAGAGCATTGCGAGGCCTGCAGAAGTAGACACGGACATAATGAAGCCATCGATAGAGTAATAGATGGGGGGTTTATGGGCAAGACCCGTAATAGATCATCCTCGTCACCATTCGATCGGTAGCCTCTACAGCAGCACTGGGGAACCCCGCAGCATTCCATCGATAGAGTGCAGATGTATAGGCAATCGCCCTGAGATCGATGCAACCATACGCCGTCTCAGAACTCGGCCATTCCTGGTGGCCTCCGTCTCGAATGTCGATCACGAACCAGTTCCTCCTCCCTTCACAGCATCGTCATCAGGCCGACCATCATGTACGATGGCATAATTCAACCCCCATTACAGCACGAGACCCTGCATGACCATCGTGCATTGGCTGGAGTTCCGCAGGGTCCTTTCTCGACACGTTCAATTATTGGCTCGGTAGACACAGAACCCCTGCACTGTACCACTGACGTCACGCTCAACAACCCCTATACTGTCGATCACCACCAAACAGGTTTGCCGTATTCGACGTCCAACCCCCGCGGCGCACGTCGCCCAGTTACTGGACAGAACACAGGTCGTGATGGCATGGCATGCCGCCTGGCGTCATTGACAGGGTCTGCCAAGTAGAGGCTTGTCAGGAGGAATGTATCCTCTTTCCCAATGCGTGAAAAGAGGGAATAGAAATATCGTCTGTTCGCCCAGTCTTGCCGAGCTTTAAGAACCCTCCTATACATCAATCTCAATCTATCAAGACTAGTTGACACCTGGGCACATCACTCCACACTTCCAAGTTCCAGACCCTCTTACAGAAACTGTCATCCATCATACGCCATGCCGTTCTTCTCAGGCCGCCGTGAGCCCTCCCCACCGCCCCGGGAGCCCACTCCTCCTCCCGTCGAAGAACCCCGCCGCCGTGGCTTCTTCTCCGGCCGCCGCGACCCTTCCCCCCCACGCCAGGCCCCCGTGCCCCAGCACGCCGCCGTTCACGAGCCCCCTCGCAAGAAGGGCGGCCTCTTCGGCTCCCTCCGCGACCGCTCGCCCTCGCCCGTGCGCGATAACCACGCCGTCCAGCACCCGCCCCAAGACCCTCACCACCACAACGGCCGCTCCACGGGCGGCGGCGGCGGGCTCTTCCACCGCAACCGCGGCCGCTCGCCCTCGCCGGCTCGCACGTCCGTCTCGTCCCTCTCCTCCGCCGGCGGCAGCTCCTACCACACGGGTCCCACGCGCTCCGGGTCCGTCTTGACACACGGCACACGGGGCAAGCGCGGCCTGCTCTCGAAGCGCGGCGACCGATACGACGAGGCTGACATGGACCCGTCGGTGCTGTCGGCGCGCGAGCGCGTCATGGGCGCCGAGCAGGCCGAGAAGGACGCCGACCGCGCGCTCATGGCGGCGAGGGAGAGCGTCGCGGCCGCGCGCGAGGAGGTCAGGCGGGTCGAGGAGGAGGCGAGGGAGGATGCCAGGCGGGCCAAGGTCAAGCAGTACCATGCCAAGGAGGTGTCGAAGAGGGGGAAGGCACTTGGCCGCTTCAGCTGAGCTCGTGATCCTGTGACGACTTGATGTGTACATTTTTTTGCTAGTTTGTATGAATACCCGAGCGCTTTGTTATTACCACTGACAATGTGATTACGTGTTGTCCTTGCGTTTCCTGGTGCGTGGTGATATGGTCTGCTTGGTGATGGTAAATTCGTTCCGAAGCCCGTCTACATTGATTTTTCTACCTGTCACCCGCGACTTGAACTCGTTCATATGACGAACACGCCCATATAACATGCAAGCTCAGTCCTTGGAGTGACCTCAGGAGATTGTTGTCTTACAGTGCTTCCATAACCTATAAGTCTAGTGGTAGCGCAAGTATGTTGATCAGCTGTATTTTGCACAGGTGAGGCCCAACTTGCTGGCTTCATTGCATGGCGATTAACTCAGCATAATGTCAATGATGGTTCAGCCACAATACTCTATCTATGGCATCTTCGTCCCTTTTGCTTCAGTCAAGAATACGTAACGGGAACAAGCACCAAGCTGGCTTTCTACACTTGCCCGACCGCACCAAGCCACTACAGGCTACTCGGATCAGCTTGAGGGGCCCAAGAGGTATGAGCACGTACAGGGTTGCCGCCGAACTTGCACACGTACCGGCTCCACCTCACACCCCACAGCGGCCCGCGATAGCTTCATGTCCCACCACCAGGGTTGGAAAATGCAAAAAAAAAAGGCAAAAACATACAACATTGGGGATTCGCTGGTGGTCACCCACCCAACTACTAGTCCAACCCTTACTGGCTTGTCTATGGGAGAGCGGACGGGATCCCGAATTTTCCAGTAGGTATGGTCGTATGTGCTGGGTGGTGGTGTTTCTGAGCATCAGATACTCTTCATCGCGAGTTAACAGCAGTGCCATCTGAGCCCTGGGCAATCGATTTCGGCGTGATAAATTGAATCTTTGCCGTATTATTGACAATAGTACCTTTGCTTGCCATTTCTCTTTCATCATTCATTTCATCGTTTTTACCAGATGCCCCTAGAGGAGGCCATGGCAATCCGTCTCAAGGTTCTGCCCCAGGGTCCCAGCGAAAACACCATGATGACTATCCAGAAAGTCAAGTTATCAAGTGCAACAGAACATGCTCAGGCTCCAGAAACGTAAACCTTTCTGCGATGGATCTTCAAATTAAATACATGACCTTGCTGTGAACCTGTTCTCATGGCCTCCGCAACAATAAACCATCGCAGCGCAGCATCAAAGCTCGTCGTCTTGTCAAGCGGCATGCGACACCCAACTCCCTTTTTGCGTGTCGATATTTCAGCAAGCCGCGTCTTTCAGTTTTGAGCGCCCTGCAGCGAGAAAAGTGCCCATGAATCAACGACAAAGCCCGCGTCCTTCCCGTTCCTGAAAGCCGCGCCCGCCTTGCGCCGTGTAAGTGCGGCTTCCGCGCGCGCAGCCCCCGGCGGAGCCTTGCAAGTGCACTATCACGAGAAAGAACCCAGGCGTTGACGTGACTGAAGACTCACAAGAATCGCCAACACGTGGAAAGCCCAAGAGTCTCAAATACACCCATCTCGTTGTCTACTATCACAGTCATCACATACTCAATCAGCAGGGTTCCGTCCGAACAGCGGCTTTGAAGCCAGACCAAATTTCATCGAAATATCGGCTGTTTCATCAGGCTTCCAGAGATACCCTTTGAGGTTGACCTGCCGTCCGAAGCTATTCGTTCAAAGGTGAGTACGTTTCCAGGTAGATATCAAACTCCTGCCGCCGGCGAGATAACTGGAGAGTCTCAGCAGTGACTGACTGTGACTCTGCCCTGCTAGCAAGCAAGCACCATCGTCTCATATAAACACGACAAAGCCTTCCCCTTGCCCGCTCTCGCCGGAGTCCGTCCATAGCAACGATGCCTTTCTATCGAGACATTGAGACCCTCAAGGAGAAGCTCGGCGGCGCCTACGCCTCAGTTCTCGTCATCCTGCATGAGAGGCAGCGCGAGCGCGAGCGACTCGCCATGGAAGCCAGGATCAAAGCCAAGAAGGAGGCCGAGGACAAGGCCCAGAAGGAGGCCGAGGCCAAGGAAAAGGCCAAAGAGGAGGCCGAGGACAAGGCCCGGAAGGAGGCCGAGGCCGAGGAAAAGGCCAGAGAGGAGGCCGAGGTCGCCGCCCAGAAGGAAGCCGTCGAGGCCGCCGCCAGAGAGCGGCAGCAGCGTCGGGAGGCTCTCCGCTCGCCCCGCCTCCGGATGAGCATCATCATGAAGGTGGCCACGCACCTCTCCGAGCAGGACGACGACGAGTACGACGACGCGTACCTGTCGACGGCCGAGCTGGCCGAGGGAACGAGCCACTACGCTGACAATGACTGGACCTTTGTTGAGAGACCTTTCTACCGTTGAGCGGGCCGGCGCGCCCTGGCTTGTCTTGTCAGTACACGTGAAAGACAGCCTCTCTTACTTTTGCTTTGAGACGGTTTCGGAGAGGGCCTGCAGGGACTGAGGTAGTCGGGACCTGGCGGAACTTTACCTACTGTGTGACGGTTGGGTCTAGTCAGCTATCTGGTATGATGGACGGGATCGTGATAGTAGACTTCCTCTGGGAGACGTCATCCAGGTCAGCTCAAGGTCGATGGCAAACTCCATCTACGGAGTGTTGGGCATCGAGTTGCAATGTCATTCCGATCATCCATCTGCGAGAGACTGTCTCATTGACTTCGGTGCATGTCTGCCCCGACGTAGTGCATCGTCTTGTAGTTTCCGATGGCCTTGTACACACCCAAATCACCAGCTGTGCAGCATGAGAGGAAGGCGAGACCCAATCATAGTGTCGACGGTGATCAGCATAGTTGAAACATGGACGTAATGTGGGGGGAAACCGCGTTTTGGGGAAAGCGGTTTGGGGAGCACCCAAGCCACATGGTCGATGACGCAGGTGGCCTTCTGAGGAGGAACCGTCACAAATAGAGACGTCAGTGTACAAGGAGCGAGATGTGCCATTGCACAGACCAGCGATGTGCCATTGCACAGACGCAGCGATGGTCTTTGTATTGACGATGGCCTCGGTTGGTGGGTGACCACCTCGCAGCCAGAGATTGATCTACGCGGCTGCGATGGATGATCATGACGAGGCAATGTGGAGGGAATACGGTCGAGGAACATCAAAGTCGCTGAGGAGGTACATGGGTACAATTCTTTGGCCGGAGCATTCGCTACGGTGGACTATCAGACGCGTGCTCGAGACCCTGAAAATGAAAGGATGACGGTGGGCGGCTTGCACATTCGGAGGGCTCCGAGTTGGAGAACGGGCGAGGGGTCCGCGAGAACAGCTTGTACGGCAAGATTCCCGTTGCACTGCACGGAAAGGGCGTCGACATGTGCTGCCGATTCGCTGCAAGGTCCATCTCTCGAAGAGGGGGCCTAGTTCGTTGGGTGAGGCGGCGACGGAGAGCAAGATCCGTGTGCCCATCTTTCGTCTTTGGTAGATCTGGAGAAGGACAGAGAGGAAAAAAGAATTGTGGGACGCCAGAGCTCAGCACTGGCTTCACCCCACCATCATTCCCAGAATAGCTGCTCAAGAGGTTGGTCGTGGACACATGGGAAGCGCGGCGGCAGCAGCATCATGGTGCGGAAGCCGTGGCAGGGACAACAGACGTCAGCGGAGCCCCTCGTACCTCTGACGAGAGCACTGGAAGGATGAATGAATGGATCAAGCCAGGTACCTACCTAGGTACCTTGGGTACAGTACGTAGCAGTACGTACGTAGGGAAGCGAGACAAGCAACCCATCTGCAAGCCACACGCAAGGCACTAGCGGTCAAGTATTTTGCTCGAGACAAGGGTCAAGCCACAGACTCGCAGACTGCGTTCTACAGGTACTGGCGCTACACGCTACGTCATAGGCATCGTCCCACGGTGGGGATAGGGACCAGCACAGGGGGCCTGGCTGTCGGCGCGGGGCACGAAAGCCCACGAACGACGAAGCCCATGGGCTGCAAGGCCCTACCCTTCCCTCCTTGGCTCTTGACCTTGGCGCGCCCTCGTCTCGTGCAGATGGGACGAAAAAAAAAACACAGTTGAAATGTTGGATGATGTAACGTCGGAACCGGTATGTAGACCCTTTTTTGGGGATTCTGCGAGTGAAAAGTGATGAGCATGCGAAAGCTTCTTGTCCCCCCGGGCCTTCTGATCGAATGATGCGCGCGCGCGGTGCACAAACGTACATGATGAAAGGGGCGACACGCTGACGAATGCTATCAAAAGATCGGCACGGTAGAGAGTTGAGGGCTTCTCCAAACTGGGCGGATGATGCCGGCAGAGTTCTTTGGCACCTGTCAGGTTGGTGATAGCTCTCCCACGAGGTACCAAGGTGAGGTGCTTGGGGAGGTCGGTACATCGTCTGGTACAGGTGGTGGGTACTGCTCGCGCAGACCAGGGCCAGATGGGACACCTAGAAAGCGACGACGCTGTACAGGTATGTAAGGCAACTGGGATTTTATTTTGCGGCATCATGATTCAACCCTTGGACCTTGCCGTCAGCAGCAATTGTCCGGTGGCATGCATGGCTTGGACGACTTGGTACCTACCTAGACACGGAGCAGTTCCGACCGGCCGTACACTGTGGTCTGGCGTAGGTAGGTAGGTAGGTCAGCTCTCCAGCCCGTCATGGCGGTGATGGGCCTGTACATTTCGTCCGTAGCTCGCTACTCCCATGAGGTACCGCGACGAAGGTGAAATGGTGCATGACGAGCGCCACGATCCACGTCTGAACTTGATCCTACCCTCGGTGTCTTGAGGCGTCTGTCTGTCGACCCAGGTCAGGCAGGTCCTGCAGCGAACCTACAGGTACCTTGTGGACATGTGTGTGTGATACGATACCTCAAAGCCCATCCAGCTCATCTCCCACCCCTCTGCCTACCCACCCGGTACCCTGTCAGAGATCCCATCCGCCGTCGTCACCGATACTGGATGGGTACATCAGCACCCCACTTCCCTGCCAGCCAGACTACCTGACCTAGGTACTACCTTAGGTAGGTACCTACCTAGGCAAGCTAGGTAGTGCTAATCCGCCCATTGCGGTGTATCGTTCCCCCCCTCCCCCCACCATCCATTGCCTGCTGCTGCTTCTTCTCCACTGCGATTGGGATTATCCACCAGCACCTGCCTTAGTATACGCCCGGTTTCCAGCAGCCAGCCAGCGCCTTGCTCCACGAACACTTCCTTCACCTTCTTGCGCCTGACAAACCCAGCTTGCAACAGCTAAAAGCTCGCCAATCCCAAGTCTCCCACCCGCCTCAACATTGGTAGCCAAGAAAAGAAGAGAAGAAGAAGAGAAGACGAAGAAGAAGAAAAAAGTTCGCCCCAAGCTGCTCATCAACCTTGAGCGAGTCACCAGCCATTCCCCGAAAGCACCAGCTACGGGCCCAATTGCAGACCACCACCAACCCACCGCCTTGCCCTCAACCGACAAGCGTGCAGTATAAGACGTCGGTATCACCGAAATCTTTCCCGCAGTTCGCCCCTCTTCGTCTCTTGCGCCCGACTGGCGTGTTTTTCGACCCTTTATCCCAACCTGAACCGTCCTGAGAGCCCGCCGCATGATCAAGCCTTGTTGAGCCTCAACGCCACGCAGTCCTACCTCTTCTGCCCCTCCCCAACTAGGTACTTTCAAGGCCGACTTGGGCTCGGATTCGTCACCTTCGCCGTCACTCGGGTGTTTCTTTCCACCACGAAAGCGACCGCGACAGCATAGCCCACGTAGCCCGACACTCCCTACGCACACATTGCTCGACAGGCAAGATGGCAGATCTCAATACGCCCGACTCTGTTCCCGCGACGCCTGACGGCACGTACGATGGCCCAGACGGTCTCGACAGCCCCGCATCCCCAGGCTCAGTCAATTCCTCAGAAGCCAGCACACCCCTCGAGGGTCCCGTCGACTCCCCTCCTGACAATATCCGGAGGCTCCCCTCTCTTCGTACCGTCTCCGACCCTCCCAATATGACCGCCTCCTCCACACCCCTCGGCTTCTTGGGCGACGCTCGTCGCCCCCGGCCGGCCGCTGCCTCCATGATGGGCGGTGGTGTTCAGAACGATATCATGGCCAGGGCACGAGCGCTGCATCTGCAACGAATGAACAAACCCGTCACCCCGAACGCTCCTCCCAGCACACCGGCTTCCCCTGCTGGCCAGTCGCCCGGCGGCATGCTGCCCGGCGGCGTCCCGAGGCTCCCAGGTGGCATACCCATGATGCGCCCAACACCGGGCCCTCTGCCTAACTCTGCCCCCGCCATCCCTACCAAGGCGTCCGGAGGACGGAAGAAGCCGGGCTTGACGCTGTCAGCCATTGGGGGGGCCCTTCCCAACCCCGCACCCGGAGCGGGCGGTGCACCAAACGGCAATGCCAATGCGAACGGCAACGGCAACAGCTTTGGCTCCAAGATGGACGACTTCAAAAAGTACATTGACTCCGAAAAAGGCTGGATCACATTTGACGGCGCGGCCACAATTACACGAACTGGGGTCAACTTTGCCAATGGCCAGACTTTCCGCATATCACTCGATGAGGTTGAGGTGCTTGACGAACTCGGCAAGGGCAATTATGGCACAGTGTACAAGGTGAAGCACACAAAGCCGAGGAAACCGCGGTTTGGCGCAGGTCTCAGCGGCGTCAAGAGCCTTGATCACTCCGTTTCGGACCCTACGGCTCTGGCGAAGAGCGACGATACCGTCGACCCTCAACAAACTACGCCCACAGCCAAGGAAGATGGCACGACTGGTGTTATCATGGCGATGAAGGAGATGAGGTTAGAGCTCGAGGAGGCCAAGTTTACGACGATTCTTCGCGAGCTTGTGATTCTGCACAAGTGCGTCTCACCCTACATCATCGATTTCTACGGGGCCTTCTTCCAAGAGGGCGCGGTCTATCTCTGCATCGAGTTCATGGACGGTGGTTCCATCGATAAGCTCTACACTGGTGGCGTCCCGGAGAACGTGCTTCGCAAGATTACATATTCCACTGTCCAGGGCCTCAAGACGCTGAAAGATGACCACAACATCATCCACCGCGATGTCAAGCCTACCAACATTCTCGTCAACACGCGAGGCCAGGTCAAGGTCTGCGATTTCGGCGTCAGCGGCAACCTCGTCGCAAGCATGGCCAAGACCAATATTGGCTGCCAGAGCTACATGGCGCCCGAGAGGATATCGGGCGGTGGCATGGCTACGGGTGCCGACGGCACCTACAGCGTGCAGAGCGACATTTGGAGCTTGGGTCTTACCATTATCGAGTGCGCCATGGGCCAGTATCCCTACCCACCGGAGGTGTCTTCGACAATCTTCAGCCAACTGAGCGTACGTCATATCTTCACCGGCCCCTTCTCATAATCCTCACTGACATTTTTT